GTGGCGCTGTGGGTTAACGCGCTGAACTACAACGAAGGTTTGAAGCGTACGATCGGTGGTTCAAGCTCAGCAGCTGCTCCTTAGAAACCCTATACCAGGTCGCTATGGGTCGGAACTGACTCAAAGGCACTGAACAACAACTGGCTGAACAGAGCTGTCTTCAATAATTCATATTCTGAAACGTCATTCAACTATTACAAAAAGCTGAATAGAAAAATTTATAGTTGAACACTGGTTTCCTCAGGCCAGTATCACATATCATTCCCTGACAAAGTGAGAATTCACCACGAGCCAAACTCAGAGTTTGATTTAAAGCACCTCTGGCTGCAGCCTAAGGAACACATTGTAGAGTGACCGAGAGACTATTCTGTGTTATTCTTTTCTTTGTTTCTATAGCTCAATGACTTAAAAAAAATTACAATAAAAGAACTCTAAAATTCTACCGGATGGCCTTAATAAGGCCAGCTGGGACTATGAAAACTGAAGTCATTAGTCAATAATTGGAAACGTATCCCCCATTGTCCCTGTGCCACAGCTCAAAGAGAGCAAAGACCCATTATGAGGCTGTACCATCCAGGGGATTAGCAATTTAAAGTAATTACATGTGCACACATCTTCAAATTTTCTGGGGAAATGGGTGAGAGTCAACAAAGCCTAGAGAGACCAAAGAAATGCTTGGGTACACAGAGTACATCCCCCAGGTGCCCCCTGTTGAGGACCCCCAAGGTCAATTTTAAGTCAACAGGAAGAGAACAGGAATTCCAAAGGCCCTGAAAAAGGAAGGGTTAATGATGAAAACAGCAGCTGATTTCCTGCACCAGGAAGTAAATGTTCCCACATATCTATCATTCACATGTGGGTTCATGTAATTTATCTTCAACCAGAATTATTACCTATTCAGCAGTTGATGCCCAAGAACTGCTGATACACTGTAGATGAGAGGCACTTGCTAGTCTCCCGGCTCTGGTCCTTCTGACGCTAAATGATGATCCCAGGATACAGAGCACTTGTTCTAGAAAACAATTCTGGCTTCCGTGTTGGGTAAGCTGCACCAACATCACCTCATTACTCCGTCTCTCAGACTCCAGAGCTTCCGCTGTCACTCTTCAGCTTTCTTGGTTCCACAAGCCGGCCCCAAATTCATATTAAAAAATATAAACAGATATTACAGGCACAACTGTTTAATCCAGGATTTACGCCTTGAAATGAGCTACTCTAGCTCTAAAAAACATATGTATGCATAAGCCTCAAAGATACAGTAAATTTGAAAACCAAAAGCCTTTGCAGTATTTCTAATTAAGTGCTTTATTGCAACATAGTCTTGACTTCCAGGATGTCAAGCCAGAGTCTAACTGACGTCAGTCTTTCCCTTGTTGTTAAGTGCTGCCGCATAGGTTCCAACTCACAGCCACCCTGTATAGGGTTTCCAGGGAGCAGCTGGTGGGTCTGGATTGCTGACCCTGCAGGGAGCAGTCTAGTGCTGATCCTACCATGCTTCTGTCCTTTGCTTAAAAATAACCCGAATCTGTTAGAATAAAGGAGCTCTTGTAGCGTAGTGGTTACGAATCGGGCTGCAAACCGCAAGGTAAGCAGTTCAAAACTACCAGCTGTTCTGCGGGAGAAAGATGAGGCGTTCTGCTCCCGTAAAGATTTACAGCCTCGGAAACCCTGTACAGGGTCGCTATGGGTCGGAACCGACTCGACGGCACT